ATAGTAATGAGGCTGTCGTCCTTGGCCTTAATATGTTGTAGGATTACACTGCTTAAAATGTGTTGTCTCATTAGTGGCCTGACAGTCAGTTGTTGGAGTGTGACCAGACTTCCAGGGACCTCCATCCATCCTTATTTATGTCAGTGTTTTCTCTTCATACTCTTCCTCACCGTGAGGTTCAACACATAGATAAAGATAATGGTTTCCACCCTGAGTCAGCTCAACAAAGTTAAAAGTTGTTTTAAACTAACCTCTGTTTCCTTATTGAATATTCTGTGCAATCCATAATCATCATAATCCTGCAATGCAGAATGGTCGAGCACTCACAGATCCATATCTGATGCATTACTATCAGCACTTTGTAACTAGATGAGAGAAAGAACTGGTGACGTTGCCAAAAAGCTCTCTAAAAGATTACTAAGCAATTCTCAAACCTCAGCGTGGCATCGACAGACTGGAACAAACAAGACAATACGCTGCACTATTCATCACAGAACTGGACTAAGAAAATTCAGATTTAACCACCTGGTTTACATGTCACTTTTGGTGCCTTAATTTTGAACAACTAATCTAATCTAATGCTGAATGTTTATGACTGTGGGAATAAGTCAGAGAAACCTGCAGAAATCCATGCACAAAAATGATGATCATGATAACTCCATATGGAAAGAACATCAGTTACTAGTAGGAACTGTGTCATGATCATATATATTTAATACATATATATACAGTATATGATCATTAATTCATTAAGAAAACAACAACTCTTCTGTCTACTTTCCTTATTCGTTTTCACAGCCTTATTATAGTCCTGCAGTGTTGCATTTTTTAAATTTTTTTTCAAATAAAGCTCTCAATATCCAATTACCAAAGTGTATGTAATAAATTACAGTCCGTCTCAGCAGGGCGTCCATAAAGCAGAAGAGATGTTTGATCAAGAGAACGTCAATTAATATTCTTACTTTATATCTTTCAGAGACATTTTTTTCTTTTTCTTTTTTTTTTTTTTTTTTGCAGTTTTGACACAATTTCTCCTCATGGCCTAATTTTTACACATGTAAAAACATAACAACAGACACAGGTGAACCTTCATGTAGCAGATTGAAACAGAAACACTTTTGCCTTAGGAGGACAACAGCCTAATATACAGTCTGTCTGCGTTCCTGGACCAAATCTCATTCCTCTCATCTTATCAGCGTCAGAGGTAACAATTACTGTACTGTACTGTAAGCACTGGAGGTCTGCCATGTGGACCTCTGCCTCTGATCCTGTGCTAGTCTGTAGTCATGTTCACACTCACTCAGCTATAAGATGAAAGAAACCTCTGTTTACATCCAAGCATGTGAAACACTGTGTTTCTAGGGATGTTTAATTCTGTGTTCTGACTTTGTCGGTTTCCAAGTTTAATCATCGTGTGCACCTAGTTCTAACGGTATCAGCTGGAGTTTGAGTCATGGTCAAATCACTGCTTTATTTAGAGTCACTCTGTTGTTTGACGGAGGATACAGAGAAATGTCAATGACAACAAAAAACACATTTTATGCTCTGTCATTGTGGGACGGTAGGGAAGGTGATCGCAGGAAGAAGGGAGTGGAACAACCATCTGAAAAATGAGCCTAGGTAGACGGAGAGCAGCGGCAGCCATCCTTCTGTTTTGTGTGTCAGTTGTGGGAGAAGAAAATGATTACAAATGACCTTTAGATGCAAGTGTGGACATTTTTCACATTATCTGGGCATTTTTCACCAGTTATCTGCTGAAGAGACAGCGTTGGGGGGCGCTGAATAAATCACGATAAACTGAGGAGCTCAACATGTGGGTCTGCTGCCAGCATTTACACGCTGTACTTCTATGTACACACCGCACTAAATTAAGAATTACGCTTTAGCTTTAGACATCCCCGAGGTCTGTTCTTTGGTGTTAACTGTTTACCTTTAGAAATTATTTGTGGGTGTGGATGTAAACTCAGGATTAATGAGGGTTAATGAACCAGCAAGTGAGTCATCCATTTAAGTTAGGTATCCAAATAATGCCTTTTATCCTGAGCGTTGTAGACTTTATTACCAGAAAAGATCATAAATCCTTTGAACTTTTTATAAAAACTAAAAAGTGACACTTTTATCCAACATTTTTTTAATTTGGATTAGTCACAAATAAACAGGTGTAATCAATCTACATCTACCGACTACTGAATAATTGTGATTAATCCACAGCTACCCCGTATCTGACCAGATTAAATATTTTACACCTTTTATAGCTCTAGTAATATTTTAATAGCTCATATAAATGTCTCGTCATGCTTGAGTTAAGTGCCATCTTCCAGGATTCAGCCTGAATCTGCAATCTCTCAAAGAAAACCTCACATCTGATTGAAATTCCAATAAAACAACGCCGACCTTTAAGAACATTTCAATTTGGCAGTGAATGGATTTGTCTAGTGACTAAGACAAGGTTTTGTCTGCTAACTGGATGGATGTGTCCGAGCCAGAATCAAGTGGCTTTGGAAAAACTAAATAATTAAATATTGAATATAGTCCAAGCACATGTCAACTGTTGATATCTGGTGGTGTCTGTATGGCACAATATGATTTCCTGCCCATATAGTCACAACTGCACTGGGTGATTAGAATCTAAAATAATTACATCTATATATATATTTTTCTCTGATAATCTACCTGCACTCCCTTTGTGACCTACTGGTAGATTGCAGCCTACATGTTGGACACCACTGGTGTACAGGTTTAGGTATTGTTACATCTCACTTCCCCAAACACTTTGTTCAAGTCAGGTTTTGCTGTTGGAGAATAAGGACACAAACATATTCTGCAAGACAAATGTGTTCCTGCTCAGTGTGACATTTACATTCCAGTCTTGAAAGTCAGCGCTGACACCACAGTTAAAATAAATAGCAAATATAACAATAGAGTCCACTGAGCTGCACATCAATATATTGACTTATGACGTGTTCAGAAAGAAGACTTCGCAATCTGAGTCAGCTGGCAGAAATGAAGCGGAAGAAGAAAAAAAAATCCAATCAGTCTGATTGAGCGCTTTTCACTAATGATGAGGTTTCCTCCCTCACTTCCACTTCCCTGGTTATACATAGCACTCCACGTCACACGTTCACAGAGACTGACGACAGCCGAGTCCTGAGAATGCAGGAAAGAAAACAGACTGGTCCTTGAGAAGCCCTGGTAATTAAGAATAATTAGCACTAATTAGATGGAGATTATTTCCTCAAATTAAGATTTAGAGTGTAAACACAGATTGCATGAATACTCCGACTGCATTGTTCTGAGGAAGATTATAGTATAAAAGAAAACTTCCTTCTTTATTTAACGTTCACTTTTTTTTCCAAGTCAAAGATTCAGGGGTGGTGGCAAAATCGTCCTTCAGACAAAAGCTTGGTCAAAATGTCTGCCAATTTACCCAGAGTTTAGAGGAGACACAGACAGAAAAGAAACAGAAATCCCTGCGCCTCCTGAGACAAAGATTTAAACCTGGCAGCCGTTCTAAAACCGTGGGGCCACAGCTGCCAACGTTTCCAGGTGGGCCACATGGTGCAAGATTTGTCTCATTGTTCTACTAAGTGGGTGATGTGAACGGGAGCAGCAACAGAGACGGGCAGAATTAATCAACCCACATCAGAATGAAAGAAAAATAAAATCCCCTGTAATGTCTCACTGCTGTGTTTGACATTAAAAACACCCATTTATAACGTATGTTGTTTTTGTATAAACAAGGCCGGACGGCTATCACGTACAACCTGAAACAACTACTGTTCAAAACTTGGACCCAAGCATGTTACTTAATTCAGACACCAGGGGGCCAAGTACCATAACACCTCAGCTTTAAAGCTTACAGTAGGATAAATATTCAAGAAATTTCAAAGTCAAAGGGATGAAACTATTACTAAAAGTGTGTGACCTTTGACCCCTGGAGCAGCATTCATTAGAACCTGTCATTCCACTATCAGG